AGGGTTCATTCATAGAAATATTAAAGAATATAAGAAAAAAGTGCAGAAAAAAATTGGTCGAGATAGTGGTAGTGAAAAGGTTAGAAGTGGAAAAGTCATTCTTTGCCATCGCATCCATTGTTCCTCTGACTTTTATAGTGTAGCTGTGATATTTGGAACAGACAACACGATGACGTAACCTACTCAAAAGAGACCTTTCCTAAGTTGATATAAAGACAAGATAAAATGGTATACATGTAATGTTGATTTGTTTCATGTTCTTTGCCCAACTGGAGACCATTCTTAAAAAACAGAATTGGTAGTTATTATTGTCCAAAAAAAACATCCGCATGTTGATTTATTTTTTCGTTTAACTTTGACTGATTAACAGCCATATTCGTCTTCAAAAAACATTTCAACATGTCTAATCATTTATCAGAGTGACAAAGATAGGACATAATGGTATACATATGCACATCAATTAAATTTTCTTTTTTTTTTTTACCTTAAACAACATCAACCAATTCTCAGGTTGGGCCTGGACTGATAACTCATGGTTAATATTGTAAAGAATTTTGTTTCTCTAATTGATGTGTTCTTTGCTATTTCTTGGATATGCATTGACTGATTTTATTCAATGTTGGATCAAAAACAAGAAAAATTTGTTTCGTCAAATATCAATTCGGCAAAATACAAATCCCCGAGTGGCACACCATAGTATAACCATCACTCAAACTCACAACATAGTGTGTGATTATCAATTCACAGTGAACGTGTATTTAATGTACCTTAAATATTATCATTTACATACCCATTCACTGGAAACTGAATAACTACAAATATGAAGGTGAAAAGGGGCAAGTATCTTATGTGGTCACTAGGCTGAGAACCAATGGAACCAAATTGTATTGAAGTTTTCTTTAAAATGCAATTCAATTGTTGCTGTCCTGTGAAGCAGATATGAATAATATTCAAATTATGCAGCGTCAAACCAATATTCGTCCAAACAGATTTGGTAATTTATATTACAGACTCTGTTCTTGACACTTTTCAGATATTTCCACGTAGTTTATGTAAAGTTGTACTGTTTTGCCTCTTATTGTTTTTGTCTTGTACTTTCATTTTTACCTTGCCTGTACCATCAAAGATGGAAGGGAAAGACATATTTATAAGGGGAAAATTTCTGTCAGGCGTTGTCGTTGTCGTCATCGTTAATAATTGTTATTGTGTGCACAATAACTTTACTACTTCTATTCCAAACTTCATCAAACTTGGTCGCCTTATTCATCAGTATAAGTCTTCTCTGAGTATGAACAACAGATTTCCTGTATGAAAATATCATGCAAAAATTTAGTAAATCTGATAAAATATTTTGACTGTTTCTACTTGACTGATCACTGGTGATACACATTCAAAGGTCACTGATCTCAATGGAAATATGCATTGTTGTATGTGTTCAATGAATCAAATCTTTTATCTTGTAATAGTAGTAGTAGTAGTATCCTTGGTAATGTATCTCCTAAATCCCATGGGAATACTAGACTGGGTTTCAAAACCAACTCATGGAGAGAGTTTTTGCACAGTCTGATACACATTTGCAAACCTACCAATAAAATCTTTAGAGGAAAAAAAAGCACTCCTATGAACTGGGTGCCAAACTTTGATCAAGATCTGAAGCTAATAGAAAATCTGTTTAGTTCAAAGTTATCAAATCAAACACAATACATAAAAATCAAAATGTTGCATCCACATTTTGAAAAGAAATTGTCAAAAATATGTATTCTGTATTTGATAAACAGTTCATTAGACAAATGAAAATTCACAGGAATTTGTTTCAGCTATTAGAACAGAATGATAGTTGTTATAATACTAATTTTAAAACGCACCTCAAAAACAAAGATTGCGGTGTTTGAAGATGTAGATTCTCAGGAGGCAACAGTACTGTTGACTTCTCTCGCCACTTCTCTCCAACTAACTATTTAAGTTGATTTGCATACAAAGCAGAGCTTGCAACATGATAGCTATTCATAGAGAGTGTTTTTTTTACTTTTCATATAATACAATAGTCACACAAGGAGGCAGTTCATATTTGTCTCAGTGAACCATTAATTGACATAACACCTGTACAAAATACTTGAACAAAAGCCACCTAAGTTTTTCTGGTATTTTGCATGGTTTATGAATCTATTCACGTCTAAATGCGGCACTTTTTTCCTCAGATGAGGCATTTGTTTTTATACTAAAATATCTGAATTACTTTGAATAAAGGTGGAAATTATGTCCCTTGAATAATTAGGCACCAATGCTTTTGTAAGATATTTACATCTATCAAAGACATTCAGTAGACTGCTTCACCACTGTTTGTTTGTATTCAAAATTAATTATGACAATGCATATTCATATTGAAACAAATTATGATAAAGGGAATAATATTATATAACAAAGGGCAAGGTCACCAGAGTTCAACTATGTTTGTACATTTAGATTTTCAGTACTTCTAGTTTCAGAGAGGATGGAATGCAGGCCTACAATCTATGGCGACCATAGTTGTTTTTTTTGTTTTCTCTGGCCTTCCCTCTGTTCTTGGTGCTTTTGTATTTTTGTTATTCATATTTTGAGTTCTCTTTGGTAGTCGAATGATAGTAAAATGAGTCTCACAACCCTGCGATTGGCAATCTAGATAAAACAGAAGTTTTGAGTAGCCCTCGTTATGTAGACAATTGATTTAAGTAAATATGACAGATTTGATAAAAAATAAAAAGTAATTAAACATTGTTCTGTGTTGTGCGCTTTAAAAATGACAAAATATATTCAAATTATCTATAACTTGTTGGTGTGTCTAGTTCTGAGTTCGAACAGTTATATTATATATATAACATAATACACAGAGACTGTTTCATGTGGGGACGTTAATGTAATTATTAAATAGACAGTTCTCGCAGAATTCTCGTACTCTTCTCAGCAGTGTCTTTTCCCACACTTGTGTATCTTAATTTCGCACTACTCATTGAACAATACGCTCCAATAACAACATTTATGACCAAGCAGCTTCGTTGGCTGCTGCCTGAATATTTACCAACCCCTGGGGCCATTAGTTACGCCATATGAGCATGTTTAAGTTTAGCGATCGATTGAGACGGAGATACGGTCACGAGCTATACATGCAATTCCACCCACCAGTACTGTCGGGCGATGTATCGCTTAAAAACGAAATGACGTATATAGAACAATTTCCTGTTATGTCACGTGATTTCGCTATTGGATACGTGACGGTTTGTTTTGTGTGCATATGATTTATGCATTTATCTACATGGTTTATATACTAATGTATTAAAGTACTAAATTTATTTTTGCTTCATTTCCGGACGAATTAATATCAAACATTGGCGAAAGCTTCTCGGATCGGTACATATAAATTGCAGTAGGTAATCATAGTCGGTAGTTAACACTTGTATTATTCCGTAATTTCCCTATTTATTTATTTTTTAAATCGGGCCATTATTTGTTTTCGAATACAACATGTATTCACATACATTGTATGCGTATGCTCAATAATGGAATAAATTACTCTGCTTATTCTTTATTGATGACGTCATAATATGATAGCAATGGTTGCGATTACGTGCTACCATTTCCTGTATGCTAATCCTACTAGTTACTGTTTTGCTTCACTTACGTAATTGGCTTGAATATCATTTCTTTCAATCATGATCATTGTTTTCACTTTCTCGGTGAATACGGATTCCGCCATCAACTTGAATGTGACATACCATAAATCATTCTTAACCCGTGGGTACCTCGTCCTCATTAACAAAACAACAAATTAATTAACAAATTCCTTACTAACTTTTTCGCCAGTTATTCATGGCTATTCAGTAACTGCATTTATCCAAGTATCTATCACTCGAGTGGAAATTCTTCGCATTCAGGTTGACAACGTATTCCAATGTTGACACCATGTATTGAGTAAATGCCGAATATCTGTATGTTAGTCACAATGATTAATCTCGCCCAATCTAGCGATGGTTGGTTTCGATTCAAGTTTGTGACTTGTCTGTAGATTTATAGTTTTGCCATGTACATTTAATACACAATATATTTTTTTTTTCAATTTATATTTCTTTCTGGTGAAATGAACGCCGTCAGTCAAGTCGAAGCATATATACAAGGCAGAATACGATACGTCGAATCAATTGTTAATATATAAGCTTATCCATGATTGGCCAGATTCTTAGGTGTTAGGGTTGGATAGCCAATCAGGTACAATCTTGTAAATGGCTTCGTATTGATCAAATAGTGTACATGTTTAAATCATAGTACAGACCGTGCAACGTAGAGTTAAAGCGGTAGGGTCGTCACCTGCGCACGAATTGAGTCCCAAGGGACGATATCAACGCATGCTAAAAACGCAAAGGCTCATGGGTAGACTCATGTTTGTAAACAATGACACGCTATGGCCGTCTGGTGCATGCGCAGGTGACGACTCCCCCGCTTTAATTCACGGAAATCTGTAGATTGGCTGGATTCAACATGTTTGCCAAAATGAAATAGAATGATGATGAAATATATTTGGAAGTGAGTATCAACATATTTATTAGAAGTGTTCATATCCACAGTTGAAAAAGTCACAGATTGAATAGCGCGATACTCCAAAAAACTTAAAGGGGAACCGCTCAATCCCTTGGATTGCACCAAGTGCTTATGGGTAATTAACTCCGCCTCTGTCCACTGAGTAAATGAATGCTTATCTTTCCCCCTGTACCGCTAATCCCACAAAACCAGAACTGATAAAAACATCCTAAGAACGGATTACAATTTGCTTGTTTAAATATAACATAGCAATTGAATTTCAAACAAATACAGAGCAGTCTTCATCAATCTGATTAAAATCTGATGTAGTGTACGGGCTTTAATTATTTTGGCTATAAACTTATTTTAATTTTTATTTTTATTACTTTTGTTATTAATGCCCTTTTATTTTATTTTATTTTATTATTTTACTTTGATTTTGATTTTGTGATTTTTTGAATTCCGCCCTACCTACATCTGAGCCGATGCCTATGTAACGAGATTTCAACGAGACCCACTATCGACGATTTTAGTCAACGAATCACATACCTCCTTCTATAGCGCACATGATGACGTCACCGGGCGGAGTTGGGTGGCAAACACACTCAAATAAAATGGCGGATTATACCGACGTTAGCGACCGAGCATAACACGGCTTTTCGGTAAGTTTATCATTGTCAAATGCAACGAAAGTCATTTTTATGTTAATATTGTGGCTCGAATGGTTCGACTTTAGATCGTTATTTTGCATAGTTATTCTGGGAGTGACGATTTTGTTTCCGCCGTTTCGACCGAACACCAGTGTCTTTTTCCAGTCGCTGCCCTGGAGACGGGTGATGTTTTGTTGAAGATCGGGCCAACATCGTCTACGGTATTGAAACCGTAGCTGTAAATATTCATCAAATTGTATCATCATTTTGTACATTATACAATAACTCTTTATTAAAGTAATTGAGCTGATTTGGACTGGAATAATATATTTTTTATTGGAACACATCGCAATAGCATTGATCAGGGTATCTGTGTAAGGGCTAAAAATAGAAATTTGGCTGCGCATGCGCCGGCGCCATATTGAATTGCGGACAATGTAGTGCAGTGTTGGATCGTCGTCGCCGTTACTTTCCACTTCACTTCGCTTCCGCAAGCGACCAGGGCCGGATCGTCCAGAAATCATCGTCTACATACTACGAAAGGACTGTTATTGGACATTATGGTTACAACAAAACATTGCTGCCATGGAAATTGTAAGAGTGACTCTCGATACAGTGACCGGGACTACATGAAAAATGTTATTTTTCTTCGATTTCCGAAGCCACACCGGAACCTTGAGAAATGCAAGACGTGGGTTCATGCTTGTGGACGACAAGATTTCTCAGTGGAAAGTATTAAGAAAGATACACACATATGCAGCAAACATTTTGTTGCAGAAAATGGGCCTTCCGATGAGCACCCTGATCCTATACCGGCGACATACAATGGGAGCAGGTACGACGATTTAAAGTAATAGTTGCACTGAGTGTAAATAGTACTGTAGCTGTTAGTCACTGTACTTTAATCATATCCGGTTTATTTAATTTCTTTGTTCGTTTTAAATTTTAGATACAGCGTTTTTCTAGAAAAAGAAAACCTCCAAAACCAAGAGATGGTGTTCCAAACATCTGCAAAGCAGCAACGAATGGATGTTTCAAGTGCAGCAAGTGGTCTACTGCTTCTTGCTACAGACACTATGACAGGTGAGGTTCACTCATGTCTTAATGTAAACCTTGACATAATATAATATTTTCCAAGACGTCCAATTAGACAAATTAATCAAAATAAACTGTTTCTTCTTCCTTCTAAATTGTAATTTATATTATTTTTTTTATAGAACCACATACTACTGAAGCGATTTGTAATGGGACCCCAGTCAGTGATTTAGCTGTATCAACCACCCAACCTGCCAATGGTCAGTGCACTCCAGATTCGAGTAAGGACAATAAAATAGAGACAGTTGATAAAGGTGTTCAAACAGACTTCAAGAGCCAGGAGATTGACTTGCTCATCCGTTTGCGAGTTGAAAACACAGTCCTCAAAAATGAGTTAACACTACTGAAAAATTCTGATCACATTTCCCCAACTTCAGTGGAAAAACGTTATTTCAGTGTAAATGATGTTGAGGGTAATGAAGCTAAATGCAAATTTTATACTGGTTTAACATGGCTTCAGTTTATGAGCCTGTGGAACTTTTTGGGCCCAGCACGAGACAAACTGCTGTTTTGGAAACGAGATTATAATAATGAAGAAGCATCTCCAAATTTGCGTCGTGGGCCTGAACGTAAACTTGATTCAATGAATGAACTTTTTTTGACACTTGTTAGACTTAGGGTAGGATTATTACATCAGGATATTGCATATAGATTTGGTATCTCAAAGGGTCATGTTACAACTGTAGTTACAACGTGGATACAACTTTTGTATAAGCAGTTTTCTAGATTAAGAAGTGATATGTTTCCTTCAAGGGATATTGTAAAACGCAACTTACCAGCATGTTTTAAGAAATTTAGAGATATTCGTGTAATAATTGATTGTTCTGAATTTTTTGTTTATCAGTCTACCCATTTTAAGCAGCAGGGCAATATGTATTCTAGTTATAAGAACCATGTTACTTATAAGGTACTCATAGGTATTGCTCCATCAGGGGCAATCACTTATGTGTCTGATGCTTTTGAAGGGTCAATTTCAGATAAGGAAATTGTTCAGAAGTCAGGTTTTCTTGATTTGCTCAGCGAAGGTGATTTGATCCTTGCAGACAGGGGTTTCACAATCAGGGACTTACTATTTGAAAAAAAAGCAGACCTAAATATTCCACCATTCTTAGGGAATAGAGATAAATTGTCAGCAGCTGAAGAGATTCAAACTAAACAGATTGCTAGAGTAAGAATACATGTAGAGCGTGCTATTGAACGCATTAAAAAGTTTAGATTACTAAAAAAAAAAAATTCCACTATCTCTACAGCCAGTGTTTTCACAAATGGTGTTTGTGGCTGGTTGTCTTGTTAACTTTCAGGAGCCCATTGTTCGCTGAAAGAATCAAACAAAGTGTATTATTAATTAATACAGTTGATTTGTCATAGTACAAGTATGCAATGTATATTTATCATTCCACAATAATATTTAGTCACATTATAATCCACTCCTAAAGTAACTTTCATGTGTCACACTGTACTTGATTCAGTCATTCTGGTGCTCACAATTAATTTAGTCTGTCTCGGTCACAAGAAAAAAATAATGAATTTTACCGGTACCTGACTGAATTAAAAGTTATCATGGTATTGCATATGAAAAACAAACAGAACACTATTAGTTGAACACAAAAAATATCAAGCTTTATTACTTATGTAATTAAAATAATACATTATTTACAAATGTAATTGAAATGTGTAAATAAAAAAATGATACTTGTAAGTGATACTTTCCCAGGTCATATCTCTGTGTACTTAATCAATGGACAACATTGACAGTCTTCGTGGTATTTTCATTTAAAAAAATTCTGGGACAAGCTTGTTTCTATGAAAATTTATAAGCCGTTTGCTGATATTTGCAAACAAAATGGCATCAAACTGTAGTTGTTCACATGTCATCCCATTGGGTGTCCACACAACAAAATAACATGTTTTGGTCTCCAGGATTCCCATTTGCATTTGGCACTGATAATAATAAGAATGATTTCTTTTTAACTTTAATTCTGAATCTAGGCAAAAGTTTTTTACTTGTTTAAAACTCAAGTCTTTTTCGAAAGTATCTGGTTTACTGGCTTTCAGTGAATATGGGCACTTTATTTCCAATACACCAACTATGTTGTTATCCATGTCCATCACAATGCCATCAGGGGATGCACCAAGTCCTGGATGCTTGCTATTTGTCCACATTCCTGATTCCTTTACTTTCAAAATCCTGGTGTCTATCCTCAAACTGCTTCCTGGCTTTGTGTTCATTTGAGTGACCCCAATGCATTGCTGCTGTAGAAACTGGCTTTTCCCACAATTTACCACCAACAATGCTTTCAGCACCACCCTCAGATTTACAAATACATATTTGCTTACATTGAGATGCAGTGACTCTCACACGTCGCTCATTGTGCCAATATATATCACCTTGCCCTGCTGCCAGTTCGTTGATGCCATTCACTGTGATGTTTTGAAGCAGTAAATCACGTTGTGCTGTAAGGTGTTTCATGTGATCATCTGTTATTGTGTAATCATCATAGTGGATTGGAATGATAGTTTCCCACATTGATGGTAAGGCATTGTGGGAATTTTGTAAGCTGATAATGAACTCATTTTTAGATCTTGTATTGAGGGTCTTGGGTCAAAGTTCATGACATCTGATGTTTTTTTCCTGTTGCTGTAATTCACATCAGTAATTTTCATAGGATTTTTTTTATTCTTCGATCCTCTACCCAATTCTACCGGTCTGCTGGTACAAGACGACTTTTCGTATTTTGCGATATAAAGCAGTAATGCAGTTACATGGCTACACCTTCCTAAGGTGAACGACTTGCACTCACAAGTAGCTTCTTTTACAAAACCAGAGTTGGGAGATACAGCAATTGTAACTAAATAGCTTACACTTCTCATGCTGGCCTGCACTTTTGCCTTTACATACAATGTCGCATTTGTTTGTACTGCATATACTTGTAACACATGGCCACTTCTGTAAAACTGTTCCCCTCTTCTAAGGGGTTTAGCTGTATGGCAATCAAGTTCATCTTCAGAGTCATTATTTATGTTATTACCCTGGCTGGCTGGATGACTTTCAACTATATATTAAATTATATGACCATCTGTTATTATAGGCATATTGTCTTCTAGTTCACACAGAGGCTTCCATCCATTAATTGGTAAAATAGTATTAACACTAACGGTAGCACAGGAGCGTGCCTCAGCTTCTTTCGTCTTTAACCAATACCCATCATCTATCCCAGGATCAATAAGCTGTGAAGCACCACAGTCTATGCAATTCTGACACCTGTAAATACATTTAAAAACACCACATTATTATATTATAGTTACTGTAGTTAACCCATATTTGTTTTACCTAACATTAATAAAAAACATTGTGTTAACAG